CACGCACGCACGCACGCACGCACGCACGCACGCACGCACGCACGCACACACACACACGCGCGCGCGCGCGCTCACACACACACACACACATACACACACACACACACACACACACAAGCGCATACACACACTTCAAAAGGTGTCATTTATACCATTCAAAATGTACGGGGTCGATATGTGGTTAATTTTTTTCATCGTGTACACTGCAGAGTTAGCCCTGGCGATAACTTAGCTATTGTGAATCTCAATGCCATTTGGTATCTTGAATCAAACTTGAAAATAAAACTGTACTTATTAATTCAAATACTAATTAACACTTTCTAAAAATAAAGTTTGCTGTTATGTCTCTAATAATTAGGTAATGTATCTTTTACATTATTCGTTTTTTCTCATTTAATAGGCAGGTTCTTACTAATCAGTCTGCTACATTTGAAATAGCATTATTCATGTCATCAAAGATACATTGGTATGTTACCCTTAAATGGACGATTTTTGTTTCACGTTTTAAAAAAATATATTTGTGTAATAGACATGTATTACTGTCTAGGAAAAATGAGTAAAAATATCTAGACATGAATTTACTATACTTTTTTTTGCAATAATGTGAGTGTTGTTTATAAACTACATTGCGCATTCATTGAGATTTTGCAAGTATGGGTAAAATAAGAGTGGATATTGTTTTTGAAATGTATTTATTTATTCTTCATTATGATATTTATAAAAACAATTGCTTTTTTTCGTATCACATAAAGTTACACGACATTTTTGGCACATTTTGAATGTAAAGCCTGAACATTTTGGGAATTTGCACCTCTGCTGCTTATCCAGCCAAACTGCCCAATGACATGTCTGATCCAATCTGACGTCTTTCAAAGGAATTGCTTGAGCTGGTCCTCGGAACTTCTTCATTACAAGTTCTCTTTGTATTGTGCTCCCACTAGGACGACCACGTTTAGCGCCATTTGCAGGTAGACCCAATTTGCAGAGGGTTTCAGCAAGTTCTAGTCTAATTGTACCCAAATTGAGAAGTTGATCATTTCCTTTTATATTATTTACCTTCTTGAACATAACCCATGAATTTATAACTGCGAGGTCCAGGAAATGATAAAATAAGCGCATGGTCCACTTGCGGCTCTTCATTGTGATGTGATAACGACCTATAAATGAATCTAATAAGTCCACGCCTCCCATGTGGGCATTGTACTCCTTGATGACTTTGGGGCATGGAATAGCAACTCTCTCTTTCTTCGATTTATCAAAGCGTGTGACTGTGGTTGCTGGTTCTGCTCCTACGTAAGTGGAAAGAAGGTTAACGGGCTTGTTATCTTTCCACACAACAGCACTTACGTCAATATCATCCACAGTCGCCACGTTTTCCTCATAGAATCCTCTGGGTACGTTCTTTTTCATTATAGTGTTTTTTTCAGGCAATTTGCAGTTTCTCAATCGGTTTACTCTTACTGTTCCCAGTGAGCAAATTCCTTCCTTAGCTAAATAGGTGACGAGAGGCACAGAAGTATAGAAGTTATCGAAGTATATAATGTGATTCACATTGCGTGATACCATTCTAGCTAACCTGACGACTGTATTGCCAGACTCTCCCAAATCTGGCTCACCAGGTAAGATGTTATTTTTGGAGCCCCCTCCACTGTAAACCTCAAATCTATGAGCATATCCTTGTAGACTGCAGATGAGATATAATTTGAACCCCCACTTGTGGGGTTTATTGGGCATGTATTGTTTTATGTAATGGCTCATTTTGGTTGCACACATCTGCTCGTTTATGGAAAGCCTTTGGTCTAAGGGAACCTTCCCAAACTGGCAGTTGAGCGTTTCCTCAAGAGGTCTTATTTTGAATAGCCTGTCATAGTCTGGATGATCTTTGGGCAAGTATAGCGTATCGTCGGCAAAATGGAGAGTGGATCTTATTTTTTCAAATTTTTTTAACGGCATAGTATTTTTTATGTGATCATAACCAAATTTTTCACTCCAGTAAGCCCTGGTATTTGGAAATTTTATAACTGAGGTGTAAATCAGAATGCCTAGGAATTTATTTAGGATATTTTCATTTATAATTTCAGGATTGGAGATTTGTTTCTGGGCTGCGTATAAGTTACTTTGTTCTACAATTTGCTTTTTTAGATCTGATGTAAAATAAAATGAAAAAAAAATCATACGGCGTGTTACAAGACATCAATACTTCCGTTATCTGAATTTCTCCCCTAAAAATAAGGCTGTCTTCAGCAGTAACAAGATTCCGTTTTCGCCAAACCAGAGGTCGTTTAGAAATCCCTTGTTATCTACTCTGGGGTGCTGCTTCTTCGGCTTCCAAAATAGGAGGGTCTGGCATATTTTCATCGTTGTCGATTACGAGAGGAGGATCAGCATCCACTTCATCAGACTGGGCATTCTCACCTTCATCACATTTTTCAAGGTCTCGAAGAACATCTCGAGCTGTTTGATAATAGTGACCTTCATCCTCTGTTTCGGAGTCTGACCCGTCTAAGCCATCTTCTGAATCTTCAAGAGTTTCTAAATACTTTGTAATTTCGCTTTCTAGTAATCGCGGCATGCTGAAAAGCAAAATAAAAATCCTTCACCAAACATGCATTTATTTAGCAGGCAATGCGCATTGTAGTTTTCCTACAACATACCAGATTTCGCCTAATTCGACAGTAGCATCAAGTGATTTTCAATGTTTTACAACATGAACATGTAATTGAAGATATAATCAAGCAAATAAAAATATGTTATATACTTACATTATATTTTATCAAAGTCCGAACACAGCTACAAAACTTAGTTTCGCGCCACTGGAAAAGTTTTCTTCAAAGTGACATTTGACATTAACTTATTTTCAATGCATAAAAATATTGGATAGTGCCAACATTAAAAAAAGTACAAAATTCGTTCAGAAATAAGAACTAGTTGTCAAAATTAACAAAAAATTAAAAGAAGGTCAATTTTATCTGTGATGTTTAGTATGTTGTTTAAAAACAACATTGTCCATTTAAGGGTACTATAAATAATAAAGAAGAAAAATCAGCAAACAATACTATTTCATATTATATACTTTCCACGAGTTTATGTAAGTCAATGATATAAACTGAGAACAGACGTGGACCTAGAATTGAACCTTGAAGAACGCCAATGCTAATTACAGATTCCGAGGCTTCGTAAAGTTAACACTAACCCTCTGGACCCATTATTACGTAATGAAGCTTACGTGTACAGCCTTCGCTGTAGAATGTCATCACGTGTTGGGCCACCTGCGACTGACGGGTTCTCAGGACGTCACACCATGTAAATAAATAATTGACAATGTACTATATTTTTCAACTCGTAATCAATTCTCAAGAATCGTCATTTATCAAAAGTTATCAATCAGTAGCTTATTTCTTATTACTATCGACGAATTATTTGAATTTAATAAACATAGGTACTTTACAAATCAACGTGAACAGAATGGATCTAGTATAATTGGTCCATTATATTTTAGAGCCAAGCTATAATATTTTACTGCTGTTATACGGTTCGAACTGCTCCAAGCGAAACTCCAAATGGGTCTATCCGTACTATCTATTTTGATCAAGTGTATTGCTACGAACTCGTTCGAGGTCAGTTTGTTGCTATTGAATAAGCCAAGTAGGTAACTACGCCCTTGGAATTGAACCAATAAGTGCAACTTGTTGTAAGTTTTTCAAAATATTTGTATGGTTATGTTCCGATAACAACATTCAGTATCCATAAGTCAGGTTGCCTTAGGTACACAATTCTTCAATTGCAATCGACATACTTTAATAAGTAATGAATAAATCTAAATGAATATTTCTGTGGGTTTACTTTGCTTTTGTGTATATGAATTAGGTTGACGTATTTTCGTACCAAATTAATACAAGAAAGTGCCCAGTACTATTATATATGTTCCACTTTCTAATGAATAGGTACAATCAACGGAAGTACAAGTGAGCTTCGTTATACGCCTGCCAGTGAAAGGGACTACGGTGCTCTCACGTGTCGAGGATCCAATGCAGTTGGCAGCCAAGCCCAACCTTGCGTCTTTCAAATTGTTCCTGCAGGTAAGTTTAATTATTATGCCTTATTTTGGACAACTTAATTACAAAAGCTGTTTCTCCATTACTCTTTCGGGACTGGTATAGACCCTGGTTACAATAAGCTACTGCTACAATAGAATTAGAATTCATTATCAAGTTATAATATAAGGAATAAATACTATAAAAGTATACGAAAATCAGATAGCATACAAGATGTTGGTACAGTCATATACATGAGATACCAGCTGACCCCCTAACATGTCCAAACCGACCTTCTGGTTCTGACAGCCGTCTTACGTATTGAACAAAGAAATATTAAAGCAATTTCAAGTGGAGTGTTGCTTGAAGACGATCAACATATTTTTAAAACCAATACTAAATTTCGTCTTTTAACTTCCAAGTAAATCGGTCGAGTGGCTTGTTGTGTGGACTGCCAGTTACAATACCCGTGGTTCAACTCCACGTGCACTATTTCGTTTTAACTTTATGTTATAATAGCATTGTTTCACTTAATGTTAACGTTGACAAATCACAATATTTGCTCACTAGAAATTGGCTAAGGTGGGTAGATATTAGTTTACTAATTATAATTTAGAAAAATAAAATATTAAAATATGTGTTGAATTACTCAAGAAGGTAACTTTTATTTCATTCACCTAATGTTTATGGGAGGTGGTTCACTTTGAGAATCTAACATCCTTAGACATTTCTTACAACTATCCAGAGGTTAAAAACAAAAAATATACAATATTATTTAGTCATAGCTAAATAATATTTTATTTTTAATGGGACTCGAACCATGTTTAACTCAACTTGCAAAGCAATTCTTATACCGCTAGGCCACGACGGCTTTAATATAGCGGGTTGAAATTTGTATATTTGTATATTGTATACATAAAAACTTTCTTACAATGTCATTCACCAATGAGACGCCCAGCGAGTCATACCAAAATAAATTTTACTGCTCACAGTTTAAAGATTAAGTTCGCTTAACAATTTTCTCCACATTTTTGTGCTCAGAATCAAGGTCGATAAAGTCGGCTTGGGGGGCAGGTATCTTGTGTCTATGACTGTACATCCATATTGGCAGCTCGTTGAAGACAGTTTGGTGAGCGGGGTCCATACAAATATATTTCTTTTTATGTTAATGTCATTCTTAAATACAAATTTCAAAACAAAAGTTTCAAAATGATAAATTGGTTAAAAAAAGTTTTCAAAATTTTTTACCAAAAAGAGCCTAAGTATAATGGACTCATAACTCAGCTTATTTGGATGCTTATTTCGATTCTTAACGCTGATCAATAGATGGTACCAAGTAAACCCACGATGCGATTGTATTAATATCCAAAAAGGCCATGGTGGCAGCTATCACATTTTCATCAAGGTTATATAGCTCTTAGTTAGGTGTTGATTATAATATATACAATAATATTATAAAATCGTAAAAAGGCGGAGTTTGTACTTTTAATATTTTTAAGTTAAACTCAGTGCTAAAACGTAGCTCTTAGAATAAATTCAAAGAAATGCCATAAATGCAATTTATGGTAAACTAACAAATCACAAAGTACATCATTGAGATACTTTCGACTTCTTACCTTTTCATCGATAGTTTACGTCAATTTTCATAATTGTAAATGAATTTTAATTGATATTCCTAAATTGTTGTTTAAATGGTTTTGCATTTCTATGTATATATTATACTTCGTATTTCGTATGATATATCTCACATTTTCGAGATTCAAACTCCGTATTTTTTATTTTATCCAAGTGTCGCCATTTACAGTTTCCAATGCGTACTAAAGTTAATTGTAGTTGTAGTTAATATGAAGTTGATGGTAGCCATTTTTTGAGACAACCACATACATTACGTTTACATTCTTTTACAGTAACAGTGTCGGAACATTTATTTATATTTGGATGAGTCTAGCCTGTTCCCATATCATGACTATCCGTCGTGACTGTATCATGGACGACGTGTCGAATGGGAACCCACCTAAAAGTGTGCACCTCCTAAGTAGAAAAAATTGCCTGCTAACTTTCGTGACAGTCCATCGGTAGCAAATATAAAACGCAAATTAAAATAGCGCTTCTAGAGATAGGTAAAATCGTTACATTTCCATCACCGTGACTATCGTTCCAGATTCAAAAAAATCACAGTGACAAATTATCGTGATTTGACCACGCCTGTCACGTATAGTAAGTACATCACGATAAACGGTTTTGGCAAGCGGCTACTTTCTAATATTCGTGATTATTACTCACTTTGAAGTGACGTGTAATTCCAATTTCAAAAGTTGATCCGCAATATTGTACAATGAACATTGATCTAATTATTTATTGGTCCATAATTAGAATTTCAAAATAAAAGCGAACCACAATGAATAACCTAGACGCTATGCTTTGTTTGCGCATGATTTTGTTTGGAAGATACGTTATGTCGTGATGTGATTGACAGAGACGGTTAGTGGAACGGAGGTATAAACCTATGCGATTTTGGACGTAGTTCCTCCGTAAAAAGTCACGGTGATACTATTTGACGGCTGATCACTGTGATTTTTCATCATGACGTTATTTATCACCCACCTCTAGGTACTTCCTGTTAAATTCAACCACCACCATCAACCCATTATATGTTATCAAATATATGTCCCACTGCTGGGCACGAGTCTCCTTTCAGACGAGGGTTTAGGCCATAGTCCTCCACGCTGGCCCAATGCGTGTTGGGGGCTTCAATTCCGAGAAACTCAGATGTGCGACCCCGGATTGGAACTCACGACCCTCGGCTTGAGAGGCAGTAGGTCAAATCATTAGGCTACCACGGCTACAATTCAATAATTAATCAAATATATTAATAAAGTAATATTTTTTTTAAATTACAATATGTTTTGTTAACGTATGTATTTATGTATATAAAGTTTATGTAGGTTTATATATGAGTCATATTTATATTATCATCATGTTTATATTTACAAAACATTCACAAATATGCGTAATTTAGAATTTAAAGCCATAGGAAAATGCCGCCAGATATTCAAACCATCGGCCTTTGAATTGAGAAGCACTCAGTCTCCCATTAGGCTACCACCATTCTCACGAAATTTAATAAAAATATTAAATTTGTATTAAAATTAAATCATTTTAAAAGCTATTTGTCGCTATCAACTTTCTTTGGTCGTCTAAAATATATACAGAACGTAAAAGACGTCTATGGGACACGGAACGAAATACTTTTTTTGTAATGCTTTATTTTAAATTTATTATTGTAGATAGGGTATTTTGCTTCACGAATACACTATTTTACTTTTAATAGAACCGACGAAACGTGAAAAAAGTATCTATAATATAATTCCTTATAAAAGTAATAGCTGTAATGTGTATATGTTTTTTTTTTTTTTAATTTATTTATTGTATAAAGGACAAAATACACAATGTGTGTGTGTGTGTGTGATATCCAGAATGTGTAGACATTTCAATGATATCTGTTCTGATCATGATCTGTATAATGGTAGTTATAACAGTTTTAGAAGACTCCTACATTCGAATGAACCATCTTAATTTCTTTACGTAATCTTTATGTTTTTTTAATATCTTTTATTCTCTTTTTTTATTTGTTAAGCATATTTAAATAATTTCTTCTATCAAATGTCCACTGCTTATACTAGAGTGTTGTGTGTAGCGATAATTGGATTGCAGGTTTACATTCATTCATGTAGAATAGTTTTGTTAATGTATAATGTGATCTGTAATCTGTTGCTGTACCTTATCCAATAAAAAGACACCATGTTTCTAAATAGACCCTTAAAATCGGTATTATAAAAATACAAATCTTTTTTTTCACATTAATAAGATAAAGCGAGCAATTTTCAAAAGTCTTTGAATGTAGTATGTTACTTCTTAAAATAAAATTATGTTCTATTGACAATATTTTATTCTTATTTATTTTATTGAATATCATGATGTTTTTACTACCATGACATTCATTCGTTTTTGTGAAAATAGTCCACTAGTTTGATATTATTATTGATACAAAGATCAAACAACACAAGGAAAAAATTCTTCGATCTGACTGGACTTTGAAGCTACAGATCGAGTCAACAGATGTTACCACTTCCTCTATATGTTTGTTGCAGATCTTTGTATTGGGTTTAAATGGCTTTTTTACCGTCTGCGTCAACTGTGACAAATTTCTATATACATTATTTATATTCCATCTAAGATGTTTAAAGTAGGTACTTTTTCTCTGTGTACCTCAGACGTGTGACGCCCCGTATTCACATTCTGTTCTATCTTCTGGTCAAAAATATATGATAAAGAAACTTGAATGTCAAAAAGGGTTCACAAACCTACAACCTACTTGAACACAATGTAATGTCGTGTAAGCCGTGGTAGCCATTAGGATAGCACGCTACGTCGTGGCTTCGAATATCAAGAGCCCTACCTTTAAAAGCAATAGAGCTCGTTGTGAAAGATTTTGTCCTGAAGTCCTGCTAACATCTATTACTGCGTTCCGGGTTTGACGGGTCAGGGGTATTAGGGTAATCATAGGCACATGGGACTTGTCAATTCACGTCTCAGGGTGACAGACGCAGTGGCAGTGCCTCCCAGAACCTTGTAATTTAAAACTCTAAATGGCACTGCAACTGTCATGGATAGGGATATCGCTTATTCGTCCCTTTACTTAATGTCATTAATTTTTTCTATAGCTCGTCCTTCGCCACCCCGAAATTGTACAGTATTCACTAGCAACGGTTCCAACTGGACTGAAGACTCAAGCCATGAGGAAATCGGGGAATCGTTGATTGTTCGTTGTGTAACAGGCTATGACGGAGGACTACCGCAATTAGTGGTGTTGGAAGCTGTCGACACAGTCTCTAATAATGTGAGGTTCAATGTTACTGCTAATGACACTGGTGAGTTATTTAATGAATTATTTTATTCTTCTAATAATAATAAGAAATGGATATATGTGTAGAGTTTCCACACTTTGTAGATACGGTAAGATTTTTTATTTTAAAACATTTTACATACATGTTTACACATATGTGTGAAATACAATTGATGGTCTTAATCTGGAATGTAAATCTAAGACATGTACATGCAGCATTATTATGCAAAAAGGTAAACGTGTTGTCTTCGGGAATAAAAAGTGAGATAAGGACTTAAATAAATGGGAATAAAGATCAACATACGTATATACAAAATTTGACTATGCTAATGGTTTTTGTACAAAAGGGCTTAAACAAAACAAAGAACAGATTCAAAAATCTCTTCTCAATTCTGAATCGATTCCTCATTGCTGAGGATCGTCACTCCATTTCATCCTACCAATAATTTGTTAATGCAGTGCTGCCTGGTAGCTCCAGTTTTTTAGACATCTGACCTGACCATCGTCTGAGATTCCTGCCCATAGGCCGCTTTTCTTCCACTTTCCCTGTCATCATCAGACGCTACAATTGTTTATTTTTTAGCATCTCTACGTGTAACGTGACCAAAGTAGCGTATCACATGCTGCATGCAGGTTGATGGCAGACGCTGTGTCTTCTCTATATTAAGTTCCCCAAATACAGAGATTGATGCGGCGTTGTCCACGGCATTCTTAACATACGACGCCAGCACCAAGCGTCAATTCTCTGCCAGTCGATGACTTTGAGGTGGAAAAGCCAAGATTAGTTAAACCTTTTTGATTCTGTATACGATTAATAAACTTAAGAAACGATATTTTACAAATAGACTGATTTCGGTTTCGTGTTCTCAGTAATTCTGAAAATTTTCCTTATTTCGGTTATCCGCTAGTACACATATTTTTTTTGTATTGAAGGCTATACTTTCAATGTATCTATAGATGGCGTAGCGGTCTTTCTGGTCCCTGCTGGATTACTGTGGTTAAGTGGGAACAGCTTGCGATTGACTGCTCATTCCAAAAACGATAAAGGATCTTCCGAGAAGATTATGCTTTACGCTCTTGCTTACCAAGGCCCAGAGAAACGAACAGGTGAGGTAACATATTGTCGTATGTCATAAATAGTATAAAAATAAAGAGTATATATAAAAAGAAACAGGAAAAAAAGCAAGTTAACGTTTCTCTGGCATATTAATTTACATAACAGCACTTTATAATTCCAGACGCCTATTTCACTTGAAAGCATTATGTCAGAAAATATACCAGTTCAGAGAAATGAAATTACGTTCACTTATTTACATAAACAATGTGAAAATAATTGTTTTCTCCTTACATGGTCTAACAAAACTTTAAAGCCGTCTGAAACTCTCATCGTGTGGAATCACAACATTTGCAAAAGGCATTCACTGCGTTTCAAATTCGGAACTGGTTTCTGTCGTTTCCGTTTTTGGAACTAAAACTAATAAAAACTTTAGACTAAATTTTAGGTTATATAGTATCTAAGGGTCATTAAAATATATATATGTTTAGATGGGAGCAACAGCCTTATGGCGAGTGTATCAAAACCTGCTTTCTGGGCGATCATCCTGACTGTGGCCGTTTGTTCCGGAGTCGCTATTTTCACTGGATATTTTTTGCGGAGAAAAAGGTTTGTTACAGTTATGAAGTTACTAAGAAACTTAGTTGGAGTGCCTACCTTAAAGTTGGAAAAGATTGATTACTAACATTAAGGCCGCAGCTAAATCATAATTTGTAAAGTTCTTATATGTTGTAACGGGCCCTGTACTCTTGTTCTTCGTCCGACATTCGTCCGAAACAATTATTGTCAAATAAGAATACTCATTAAAAGACGCATGATGCAAATGACGCTTCATACTTCCCATGTCTTTGAATTTGGTCGAGTATTACTTATTTAACATTAGATTGTAATCTGAGTATTTAACAGTAATTATTTCGGACATATGTCGGACAGGGAAAGAGAGTATACCCCCAGAGATAGCTATTTCTGTAAGCAGTTAAGGCGAAAAGCTTTGCACGAAATTTAAACATATGTCTTTTAGAAATAAAATCTACCCTCTTACTGTAACATTAGCTCTTAGTCCCCTAACGTATTTATTACGAAACACGGGGCAGAATTTCATTCAAATGTCTGTAAAAATAATCAAATGAAACCGAGTTTTCCGTTTTCCGTATCTCCTGTTTTCATTATGAATTAAAAAACAAGTTATATCAGTATTTTTGAACGTCGAAAAACCGATTTTCTGGATGGTCAAAATACGTCTAAACTTCTATTTTGGGTTTCACTTCGCCTTTGCGACAATTCTTCATATAACCATCTTCTATTTCTTCCGAATCTTAACAGAAGGTCAGTTATTAAATCGTTCATAATATTTAGGAAAATACACTTCTTTCTTTCATAATTTTATTATGTACAATCGATGACTGAATCGATACTTAACGCCATAACTCGACCATTTGGTTCTAAGAAGATACGTGTGAAGAAAAGTGTACACACTTAACCCCGTAACCCGTGAGTCGTAAAATTCATTTCTGTATTATATCACTAGCGACAACATTTTAAGAAACTTTTTAAGCCAAATTGATCTTTAACTATTACTTCCTTAAATACAGAACACAAACTTTAGCTTGAACACAAACTGCCTCTGTGGCCGAACGGTTACCATGCAAGACTGCCACGCATAAGTAATTTATTTCTCTCGTGAGTTTGGGTGTGAGTTGTGGTTAACTATGTGTGTGTCCATGGCACTCGCCATACAGGGTCTCCCTAGAGCGAGCGGGGCTATGAGAGTAGTCGTTATTATTATTACTATTACATTACATAATTTCAACAATAACGCTGGAATTCCCTTACACTTTTCTGTTGAATGCGTAAGCAGACTCTCAGTAGGTACCAAAAGGTCGCTAGGGAGGTCAAATATGTTAGGACATCGACTGTACATAATGCACGAAACAAATAGCGTAGAAGGCATTCAGCACCAGAATACGCTGTTCTGATTAATAACACCTAATGTATTTTTTAACAGTGTCAAGCCACCAACGAAGCAACAAACCCCAGAATTGCAATTAAACGCTGGTGATGGACAATACGTGGTTGCATACACGCTAAAACCTCCCAAGCAAGCACAGCCGGATATATTAAATCCGCCTCCTGGTATGTTCTGCGTAATTTTTTTATCATACTTAACAATTAGTCTTTATTTGCATGCTTGTCCTATACGTGTTCTATTATTATTAATACAATTACGATAACACTTTTGTGAGTTCTTGTGCCGACTCTCGCAAAAGTTTTTGAATTATTAGAACCATTTTGAATCGACGTCAGAAAAACGAGGAGGTTCTCAATTCGACTGTATTTTGTTGTGTTTGGACATGTTACGCGGTTACGCCGACACTTGTGAACTGATTAAGATTTTTTTTATTGGAGAAGGGGTACCTCAGTAGTGGTCCCATTCAAATTTGAAGAAAATATTCTACGTCTAAGGGTTCTACGTTAACCGATTTCAATAAAACTTGCCAAGTAGATGTGATTCCACAAACTTTTGAGGTCGGTTTTTATAATAAAATATCTGGTGCGCCAATTGTTTCAACTAATGTGTTCACAACCAAAAAGTCTGTTCTTTTGCAAAAGCACTTAGAGCATTTGCGCACTACGTCCTATTGGTATCAGTTCTGAATTCGAGAAATGACGTTCCGAAATGTCACAGTGATCATTTTATCTCTATGTGCAAAAGCAATATCCGAAATGGGGCCGAGTTTTCTAAATTTCTACAGTCTCGGTACACGAATGCGAATCGGATGCAATGTAGAAAGGCGCTGTCATCAGCATACCAAAAGCTCAAACTAATTAAGATATAATCTCAGTACATAGTACTAAAAAACCGACCTCAAAAGTCATTTATCCCCTAGTTTGTCACCCTTAGAGGTGGAATATTTTCTTCTTTCTTTTTGTTGGAAAAAAAGAATAATCAAAATCGGTTCACAAATCCGGATTGAGAACTGAGAACTGAGAGAATTGAGAACCTCCTCCTTTTTTGAAGTCGGTTAATTAAAACACCGATTAAAATGGGTTGTAGATCCCGTTTCGCTGATCCCAAATATGTTAATAACTCAATTTAGCTAAAAATGTCGATTATGTTATTAAGATGAGGAGAGTAAAGTTCTTTAGAAAATTTACCAATCTTTAAATAGCATGAATGATTATCATAACCAATTTTGAAAGAATTCAGGTCTCGTAGTTCTATTTTGAATAACACAATGTCATAAACAAAATTTATTTTCATTCTATCTATTCAGAAAAATACCAGGGTTCCGTAGAGAGGGACTACAATCACTTTTTATTTGTTTGGGAATTTTGAACTGAATGTTTGTTGAATGAACACGGCGACCGTATAAATTGATCAAAAGGAGAGAATTGTTTAAAAGTTGATATAACTGATTTAAAATAGTTTTGTATTTTTTTTTAACGCACACACTCAATATTTTATTTATTATTAACTACTGACGTACATATAGACGAATGTATAGATGACATATGACGAATATATAGGTGAAAGATTTTAAAGAGTTGATTGTGCCTTGTCAACTCTGAGAATCCGCTGAAATTGAGGAACAAATTTTACTTTATTTTTCTGGACCATCTTGCTTACACCGGTTGCGCTCAATCGCATGGTGTAGTGCGGTGCTGACAGGTAGCTCCAGTTGATTGGAGATCTAATCCGACCACCTTTCGGGGTTCTTGCCTCTAGGTCTTTTTCCTTCCACCTTCCCTGTCACCATCAAACGTTCCAAGTTATCAGCAACTTTACGTGGCATGTGACCAAAATAGCGTATCACGCGCTACATGCAAATGCAGACGTCAATTCTCTGCCTGTTGGCGGATTTTAAAGTCCATAGAGATATGGAGAAGACAAGTATGCGAATTAGATGTATTTTAGTTCGGTTCGGTTCGGTTCGGTCGGTATTTCTCCATAACTTGCTCAGTTGACTCATTAGTGTCTTTGCCATCCCAATTCGCCTTCGTATTTCTGCTTCACAACTGCCCCCACTGGTTATCAAAGAGCCCAGGTATTGAAACTGATCCACGGTCTCGTATTCTTGCAGGAGGTTGTACGCTGAAATTCGCGAAACAATCAATTACCATGAGCTTAGTCTTAGATTTATTTACAGGCTTATACCTATATGACTTTAATTTCTATGTCACGGTGAAGAAAAACATCTCAACGCTACGTGGAAAACGTGTGGACTATAGATACACGACCCGTCCCAGTAATGGGACGTGTAACGGGTTGACGATGAATTTTTCTTGCGATTTCAGAAGGCCCTTATAGTAAAAGTTGTTCCTATTGATAGGTACAATTATCTCCCAAAAATATTGCAGACCTTTCAGGGTCGCCTTATGTAATTGAGAATCCAGAATCGAGCAAGTACGTTCCAATATTTGTCATTCCATATTTCGTCTTTCCATTCATGACATTCCACATTTCATGGGGTATATACATCATATACGTTTATATATGGTGCAATTTTAATGTATCATTGACAATTTTAGACGGGAACCCTCCAATGGCGAAGTGCGGCGTAGAGGCTGTCAAAAATGGCCCTCTTCAAGCCGACGAGTGGACGCACAGCCCCAGCGAGCGCGCTCCGTTGCATGCCAGCCATGAACAGCGCGCAGTGAGTATCTTTATCGTGTTTTTTTTTATTAAAGTGTCCATACTTCTTGTTAAGAGTTGCAGAGTACCCTTTTCTGAACAGTGCTAGAACTCGAAAGTTATGTCTCGAAAGGGCACAAAATTTTCAAAGTTTAATTCCCCGGAAAGGTATCATCATATATCATCATATCTCTATGTTTATTTTAAAATTGAATAACAAAATTGTCCACGAAATTGACGATGGAAATCGTATTCACAAGAACAATCCAAACATAAAGTTTAAATTAATAAAATAGAATGTTTGTCGTCATAAGTTTAATATTTACTAGTAATATTACGAGTGGTGATATTACTAGTAAATATTAAATGATGATGATGATGAACGACATATAAGTATACTCCATTTTATTTTATGTCATCATCTAACTTTATTTTGATCTCAACATTTTGGACTTACCAAACTTTTATATATAGAAGATGTATTTTTTGTTATGTAAACTATATAGGCTCTCATTAAGGCGACACTTTTTACCAATTTTTCAAACCCTTTCGAACAAAATGTGAAATTAAATTTCAATAGAATTTTACTGTATATAAATTTAAATGTGTTATAAGTCTAACGTATTAATAAGGCAGTGCAGGATAACAAATGTGAGCTCAGTGTCGATTCTATAAGGCTCTTTTTCCACAGTTTTCTATTAGGTTCTTTTTTTTTACATGACACGAATTTATGAATTCTCTTCTATACTGCTAAGACTTTCTTTTCAAATTAATGTTTGTTTCGCAGTTGCTATCTCCACCGCGTTCATCAAGTACTAAGCCTCCAACAACAAGTGGCAATATGACCATAAGTAGAAGAGAACACCTCATCGCAGAAGAAATCCCTGGACCAGAAAGTTGTGTATAGACATAGGCTTAAAACTTTTGTATATATTGACTGTCAAAATTGTGATAAAACTGTATATAGGAACTATGAGTAATTATTAAAGTGAATAAATAAAGTTCTGTTAAGTGCCGAGTCGTCTAATTATCTTAACTTTGTTTTGCCCTAATTCCTAAAATTTTTTTATTACCATCATGAAAGTGCTCCTTTGATGTATCAAAATAGTATTCCAAGAACAGGGTTCAAGATATACTTCAAAAAGTATAATGTGGGGACTTTACTTCGATCATCGAAGAGACTTTTTTTTATGAAATGTCAGTGCGCATTTGACTTTCTTCTCACCTGATGGAAAGTGACGATGAGGTCGACGATGGCGCATGCACACCTAAACAATGCCTATCCATCTCGCCTTGAAAAGGTCCAAGTTGTAACGTTCTGGGAACAAATCTGCAGGCAGGGAATTCCACTCTATAGCCGTTCGCCATATAAATGTGGAAGCGTAACGCTTCGTGCGAATCTTTGGAATATCCATAACATAGGGGTTCGTCGTCATAACAATGGGAAGAAAAATATCTCTCGGCAATCTTCGTGTTTCGACAGCCGTCGGATTTCTACCAGTTGCCCTTTGCACTTGGTGCAGACCGGACACACTCAATCTACTTGGAAGTATATTTATATAAATAGGCAACTAGTCTTAACTTTTGTTATATTTTGGTTAACTTGGTTGATATATTGTTGAGTGTTTTACAGCTCTGTACATATGTAAATCACAAGGAAATTAATACAATAAAGTACAAAAATCTAAATACAAATTGGACTTGGAAATTTGTATTCGGACGCATTCGGAAATTCGAAGACTACTGGGAGATATAAAAAATAGTTCTACTTTCTAATCTCATTATATTGTATTCTATCATAGCCGTGTTAATGAACTAAAAAAAAATGTAAATCAACTTTCGAATTACCAAAAACGTTTCAGCACTATAGCAGCAACAATTTTTGATAACACCGTTTGTAACCAATGTCATCCAGAATATGCCTCGAGGACCTTTTACTAGGCTTCCAGTCCCTCATGTGAAAAATTAAATCTCGTTTGCAGCTCAGCGTTATTACGTTCCACTAGCCGGACGGGATACAAAATGTTAAGTATTTTTTTCAAAAGCCTGTAGATTGCTCTTCAAATTTTATAGTACGTGTATATGATAGTTTATTTATGTTATGGATGATCGAAGAGTCCATATAGTGATGAGACTTGAAAGTAGTTAATCGTTAACAAGTTATTCACGAAAGTCTTACAATGTAGAATTCGGGGAAGAAATAGTGTATAAAAACTGAGTATTGATATATCATTTGTATATAAAGACGTACACTGCTGGACATAGGCATCCCCCAAAGATCGCCACACCGACCGGTCTTGTGCTATTTGCATTCAGCGGATTCCCGCAACCTTCATCCGGTCACCGGATCGGTGGGTGGGTCTTTGTGGGTGGTCTGCCTACGCTGAGTCTGCCGGTGCGCTATCGCCACTCGAGAACTTTTTGGTCCCGTAGACTATCTGTTCTGCGAGCAATATACCCCGCCCACTGCCACTTAACTTCATTTCTCCTTGCACTGGCTTAAGCGCCTCCAAAACTTTTTGCCCTTAAAATAAAAGATCTGTTTAGCTCAATCTCTTATTTTACTCTTCCTAGACTACGCTGATTCCCTTCTATAAACATGCTACTGAAGAACTGCTAAATAAGCTTGAACTTGTTTGCAAAATCTATGTATAAGGTTCATCTTTGGCCTACGTGAATTTGCATATCGTCTCTGTTCTTCACAACATACTACATAATCCTTTGTCTCCCAGGTATCCGAAAGAGCGTTTCAGCTTTCTCAGGTCCCAGGATAAGTCCTGTCACTCTCTCGTTAGGTCCCAGTTATCTTTTCCATTTCCAGTTCCATTCCCAGTTTTTTTTCTCACTCCTTTACTGCTCATGCAGTCAGACTTTGGAACGCACTTCCCATTACTGTTCATGATAGTAAATTCTTAGCTATCTTTAAAATAAGAGTCAAGGAGCACTATTTATCCACTGTTCCATCCATTTTATAGATATATGTATTTATCCATGTATTTAGGTATATAGTCTTTAGTAATTTAATATTTTTGCTATTTTTTTTATTATTATTTTATTACATGATTTAATTTTGTTTTGTTGCGCTTACGTGAACCCGTTATTGTACTTATTTTGTCCTATATTTAGGTTTGCTGGAAGAAATTTCTTTTAGAAATAAGCAGTACCTTTTGTTTGTGGATTCTGTTTTACTAAATATGATTTGTGTTTGCGTGTACAATAAATTATTAAATAAATAAATTTCGTGATTCATTAGGCTATGTCGGTTGCTCTGATTCTCTTGCGAATATCTTCATCTGATTTGATCTCGCGGTGAAACTTCGAGCATAGCCCTTTCCAAAGCCCTTCGAGTGACCTTGAGCTTTCTTACGAGGTCCATAGCGACGACGTGTTAGTGTTGTAAGTCATGGCAACACATAATGGTCAAAAACTTTTACCTTGAGACACTGGTATTTTGGACTAGAAAATATGGCGGAGCTTTTCGAACTAGGTACTATAACCCGACCCAATAAACAAATGACAAAGCTTAATATTTTATTAAAGCCGTATTTTTCCACGATATAATATGCACATTTCCAATATTTTTACGTGGTACACAAGACAGCTAGTTAGACGTTGGCTTTCGTGAAGAGTGGTACATGGCTCCGGAAATCTGGAAGTCGGTTAATAGCAATGTATTTCTGATAAAATAAATCGGTGTCAGGAACTTTGCATGTAAACACTTTATTGTACCACAAGTAAATTACAAATTTTAAGAAATAATTTAAAATATTAGTGAACAATGGCTTATCCCATAAAGGGATTTCTCCCAACTAACCTTTGAAAAACTGAGAGGAAATTTTTTTTTTTGGGTTGGCAATAAAAATAAATAAATAAAGAAATTGAATACTGGACACTCGATAAATACACAGATACATTTATAATATCAAATGTAAATACAAATACACATTAATTAAGTACTTGGTGTAACGGGCTGGTGTCCGCAACTATTAATTAAGTAATGTTGATAGACTAATACATTTAAAAATCTATAGTAAAATTTATGCTTAGAATAAAACTATAAATAAATATATCAAATGTAAATAAATATTTCTTAAGCTCTAATATGAGGAGTCTGAACAATCCCAAGACTTCAGAACTTTAGTTTTTTTATGTAAAAAGTTAGATTTCAACTGCCGCTTAACAGAACGCTGCTCAGCCGAGTCGGAGTCGACGATTGACCTCTTTCTCGAAGTTGGACCAATATATACCAACTATATATGTCTTAAATTTACAAACTTTTTACGGCTAGAAACTTTTGTTATTAATCCGTTTCACCAACTTTGTAGTTTGGCTTTTACGTTCTTTCTTCCATGAAGTGTCAAATTTCTATGTAAGTTTCAAACGAAGAAGAGAAAAGTGGAGTTCAATTTAGCAATTTTCAATAAATCAATCTTTATTCTGTCACGTCCCAACGATGAAATGCGCAATACCTTCGTGAAAAAATTGTGGGACAGCTGATTTAAGGTGTGTAGAGGTTCCAATTGTAAAAATTATTCAGTAATACATAGAATTAGCTCCCCGAAAAAAATCTGAATGCATCACACAATGTAAAGTATCAGTAGAGCGCCTTGTAAAAGAGTTTGTCCAAGGAAGTATCGGTAATCGGTGAATATTAGTGGTGATAATTTAGTGAAATACCATGAAAGTATTAAAAATAGTTGATTTCTATCCACCGAGTACATAACCAGAAATAGAGACGAAATAAGGGCCGTATATTCCTGGTAACACATAAGCGATACAGCTCTTATAAATATCAACTCTCGTTTCCACTGAAATATAGACAGGCCAGCTACTGACGTGTGTGTACGTCTCAGTATATTCCAAAAAATATTCTGTATCTATTGTAATAAAGATAATATCTCTAACAATGCCGTGCTGTTCTATTCAGTGGTGTGGGAAAAACAGCAAAACATCTAATTACAAAACAAACGGAATCACATTTCATCGGTAATTAAATATTAAATAAGTAATTCATTTCAAGTTCCGATGGGACGAAAAAGAAGGTCACAAATATGACAGAGTTATCGGACTTCACGACCTGCAAACCGACGCCGCCGTCAAATCCATCCAACTCAGCCACAGGTTGTAGCTCCTCAAGGTCTGCTGTTGGTGACTCAATTAATCCACCGCTATCGAGAGCACATGATGTTTCCAACCGGCCTCCAAGTAAAACTCGCCCCACAAGATCTGCAGCTGCGAAATCCAAATAATATGCCGAATTGTCGGCTGCAGTGCGTGGCAAGCAATGTACTTCGTTTTCTTGTTAGCATTTATTTTGGTTCAATAATTTCCAGCAAAATTACTTTCTCATTTCACCCCACTTTTACTTTTATTATTTTTATGCGTAACCTCTAAAAGTTCAAAATTCTGCTTGTTGACAGTTAATGTCATTTATATTATTTTTTTTTATGCTAGTTACGTTCTGTTTCACGCAAGTACCTTAGGGAAGAACTGTTATTGTTGAACATTTTATAAGATCATTGTGTTTATTTAGTTTAGTTTATTTTTTGAATTGATAATGCGTGTAGTTATAAAATTCTTTAATTTATTGCAAATTACTTTAAATTTCTTTATTTTTAATTATTTCTTTTTTTTTTCTCACAGTAAATGCCGTTATTTTATTGTCGGGTTTAATTAGGTACCTATTGTCTTTCTCATTATTAAGTTTAGTGGTTTTAAATTTGTTTTTCTTTTACTGTAATAGCTGCTGGCGAAAGCTGATTGAAAAGGAAAGGTTAATTTGTCTTCATAAATACTATTATATTATATTATACTATATTACATTATACTATATAATATTATATTTATTTTATATTTATATTATATTTATAAACACTATTATTTATACATAAACTATAATTATATCAGCTCAATGTCGGATGTTTTGAACACTGATTCGCATTCTGAATATTTCTCTTTGTCGTCCTCTGCAACTGCTTTTTCGGATGCAGAAGATGACATGCCCTCG